ACTATGAAAAACAGTATTTTATACTTTTAGATTTTTTTGTGAAATGAGGCCAGCTGCCTTCCATGAGCAGTTCCTACTCTGGGAAAGCAACAAAGCCCTCAAGCAAAGTCTCTTGAAACTTAGATGCTGAACCAGACTGTGGTTAAAAAATTTCAACAAGGGCCTCCATGGTGGGTGGTATAGGGGTTAAAGTCTCAGCTCTATTAAGCTATCACCAACCACTGCAGCCTGAGTTCGATTCCCATCCAGGGAGGTGACCCACATGGCACAGCAGACCTCTCCTGTCTCTCCCGCTGCTCCCCTCAGCAGGGTATTACAGAAGATCTGTCGGTTCTGCTTTCCACTCTGTCTCTGGTGAATCTCTCGTCTCCACCCCCCTGTACCTCTGACTTACACCCCAGCTCTTCTATGCATAAGTAAATAAAAATTAATCTTTAAAATAAAAAAAAAGATACCAAAGTGTGGAATTGCTGGGTCATACAGTATTTCCACTTAAAAAAATGAATTTCAGTAAACTTGGAAAACATGATTTTCTATAACCTGCCACCCCACCTCCACCCCCAGGCCTCATTCAGCCCTCAAGTCAGACAGGCAGAGAAGGAAAAAGTGGCTCTGAGGCCTTCAACATCAAGTTGGTGAAGAGCAAGTAAGCATTTAAATAATAATTGATAATGAGACTCTATACGTCTGCTGGGCCAGCCTCCTGATGACCACTGTTACATGACCTTATGCTACTTGGATGTGAAACTTTATACTGAAGATTGTCCCCATAGGGGATATTGCTACTGATTCTTACTTGCCACGGTAAACACCCCCTGCAGAACCCCTGCGTTGATACATTGATAAAAACAGTGATCCCCGGTGTGTGCCTGGTATCACACAGGCAAGGCACTGGTGAAATCCAGGTAAACAAAAGATGGTCTCTGTTCCCAGTCTTAGCTGCCATGACAGAGGCATGTTCAAAAGGCCAAGGGTGGGCTGTGGGTGGAACTTTTGAAGTGGACTTTGAAGGATTTCAAGGACATGGGGGTTAGGGAGGTGGTGTTCCCAGTCAAGCAGACAGCTCTGTGAAGAGTCCAGAGAATATGAAAGAACACTGTGTTTAGGGAGTGACTGGTGATTCTGAGAGACCATGACTGAGGGTGTGAGTGGGAGTGAAATGCTGGTAGAATGGAGGGGGTGGCAGGGAACGCCAGATTTTAGAGGACCTTGAACTTGGTTTTCACCCTACAGGCAGCAGGAGGAAAGTTGAGTTAGTTAAGTAGGACAGGCATATTGGCATATTAGAGAGAGCGTTATGACTACTTTCAAAATACCAGTGAGGTGACAGTTGTTCTTACTAAATATCATGAATAAAAGTGAAGACCAGAGGAGGCAGTCCCCAGGCCACTATCAGAGACCCCCTGGTATAATTAAAGAACAAATTCACCATAAACTTATATTAGCCATAGGTGATACGTGAAAGAAACACAGTGATTCCTCTATGAGGAAAAGCTTAGGGAGCCAAGTTCTATTTAATCAGCTCAGTCGGAGGGCTAAGAGAAAGAAGTTTTGCCAGTAGTGGTGGTGGTGGTGGTTGTAAGGTAGGAAGGTGTCTGTTCCTAAAAGCCCCTCCACAGGGGCTGAACCCAGCCAAATGAGACTCCACACCCAGGGTTCATCATTGCTGGGAAACCTGGGGATGCAAGAAGAAAGGCCTCAGTTCTACAAAGCAGAATAACTAGGGGTGTGGGGCCAAACTTGTTGGGAGGAAAAGCACATACTGCCAAGTCGGGGAGCAAGGAGGTTCCTCAAGTCTTCTCTGCCTCATAACATGCCTCCAGCTCTAAGACGTGTCTAGGCCCCACCTTAGCCTCTCTGTTATCCACACAGTACCCACATCAGTCATAGCAACCCCTGCCTACAACCCCTAGTGAATTGCCATCATGCTCAGCAAAATCCCAGATCCTTACCTTGGGCCTTACGGGATCTGGTCCCATTACTTTTATAATAATTATGTGTTGAAATACTATTTTGTTCCTACTGAGTTTAATAAGAGTGCTAAAACTTCTTTCCTTTTGCTCTTTCAAATGTGACAACTTGGACATTTAAAGTGAAGTGTGTAGCTTGCAAGAGTGACCCACGTGGACATTTTTCATTCGTGGTATTGTTCTAGAAAACTTGTAGATAAGGAGGAGCCCCAAGGACAGAGCCCTTGGGTGCTACAACATTGCAAATTCAGGCACAGGAGACAGTGCAAGCAAAGGAGACTGACAAGGGATTGGCTGAAGAGGGAGGAGAAAACAAGGGGTGGGGGTGAGGTGATTTGAAAAGGCAGGCGACACAGTTATTCAAAATTCAGGTAGTGATCAACTGTGGCGGATGCTGTTGGCAGGTCAAATAACCAGCGGTTGCATTTAACAAGACCAGTTCTGAGGGAATAATCTGAAGTAGTTGGTCTGGAAGCCTGGCTGGCGAGGGAATACATGGAGACCTAAGGACAGTAAGTATACACCTAATGTTTGAACTTTGCTTTGAAGAGACGCAGAGGAAGATGATGGTGACTGGAAGTGAATTTCCAGTCAAGGAGAGGTTGGCGTATTTTGCTGCAGTTGTGGGTTTGTCTAGAGCAGGAGGCAGTTGGGCCAATGGTGGTGTCATCCTCGGCCCTGAGGATTCCTTTGGGGAAGTGAGACCAGTCTGCCCTAAGGAACTGGAGCAGGTCTAAACGGCATTAGTTAAACTGAATGATCTGTTAGTACTCTGAGGAAACAGATGCCAACATCTACCCTCTTTCTTTATTCTCATTTGAGTCTTTTGTATGTTTTTCTCTTCGGTGGTGTTTTTCATTTCTTCTACCCCTGGCAGTGGTGGGTCAAGGGCAGTGCTTGCTTACTGTGATCTGGTAGTTTGGAAAACAAGGTCTTTTTCTCTGAATCTCAGGGAGCATTTATTTTCCCGGTGTGTGCAAAGCCATCCTTTGTTGCAGCGTAGGGGTGCTGCCGTGATTATTAAGAAGGTCCAGGAACTCCCCGTGATGTGAATTGCACCAGGCTCAATGAATTTTACTGTTCTCCCTCTGAATTTTTGAGAAGTTGCTGAATCTCCCCACTCCCTTGCTCCCTCCACAGCCCCGGATGGATGGGGATGGATGAGCACTGTTTGGATCTGGGACTCTCATCTTCAGGCAGAATTGTGGTATTGGCTCGTTGAGTTTGAGTGATGAACTTTGTGTCAACACCTGGCAACCGAGCCCAGAAGAGTACACCTGATGGGTTTCTGCCTCACTGTAGTGAGGAAGCATACAGGCTCTGCAGAGCCAGGGGCCTTCTTGGCGGGAGGGTCTAAAGCAATCTTGAAACCAGGGCCCTGTCAGCTCATTTGTCCTCTGGAAAATTGCACATTCCAAGTCCTTGTCACTCTGGCTGGGTGAACTCTCAAGTTATCTTTAACCTCACAGTCTGTAGTCACCTCTCTCTGCCTTCCCATCTGCATTAGGGGCTTCCAGCCGGACAGCAGGCCAGGATGGGCCTGGAGTCCATCCATAAAGCAGCAATGGCAGCTTGATGACATTGAGGAGTACAGCAGATGGGGGGCAGGGAGGATGGTTCCAGAATCTAGGTAATCCCATTTGAAGGTACTTCAGTCACATCAAGACTCCGAGGGCAATCTCTGTTGCACTCTACAATACCCCTGTTGTATGAGTATAGCCACCTTCCTCTGGCTTATAGTGCCCATGAGATGCCCCTCACCTGCCGCATGCAAATTCCTATTAAAATGTCAATACTGATTTATAACGGTTTGATAATCAACTGGCATATGCCCTTAGTCTTATCATCCCTAGCTTTTGCTGGAAGCTAGAATGAATGGAAAATTTATAGTTGGGTCTCAGCTGAACATCTGTGCTGATATAACAAAGCGCGAGGATGGATTAATTCTCCCATGACATAAGAATCCAGTCATGGGGGAGTGATTATTTTGATGGTCACTTACATTGTTTCCCTTTGGGGCTATTTAAAATGATGCTGTGATAAACATTTTTGCATGCTTATTTTTGTGTACAAGTGTAGAGTGTATCTTCAGGGTAAAGTTCAAGCAGAGATGCTACTGGATCAAAAGGTATGTGCGTTTAAAAATTTTTGAGACTGCAAAACAATTTCACTTCATAATGAGTATGTCTGTTTCCCATCCTATTAGTAATGGAACATCATCAAAATTAAGTTTTTTTTAACAATTGATATGTGAAACTGTTGATATTTAGACTTGAATTTCTTTAATTATAAGTGAGTCTGAACCTTTCTTGATGTGGTTATTAGCTTTTTATGTTTCTTTTCTACAAACAGCTTATACCATTTTAAATCAGGTTGATTGTCTTTTATTGGTTTATAGGTGCTCTTGACAAATTAAGAAAATAAACCCCTCTATATTATGGCAGATATTATTTCCTAATTTCTTACTCTTCTGTTGACACTTAGGTATTTGGCCATGAGTTTTCAATTTTTAAGTAGTCAAATATCTCAGTCTTTCCCTTCATGGCTCTGGCTGCTTGTCAAGTCAGTGTTGGCTCTCTGGGCATATCATGAACAAACCATTAGGCCTCCAAATGTAATGGATCCCAACGTAAAGCAAATCACCAGATTTTTTTACACTGGTCTTTTTCTTCAGTAATAGCTTTATGGAGACATGATTCATGTATTATACAACACACCCATTTAAAGTGTATAGTTCAATGCTTTTCAATATGTTCAAAGATTTGCACAGCTATTGCCACAGTTAATTTTAGAACATTATCATGATGTCAAAAAAAAATGAACAACCCATACTTTCCATGTGTATTTTCCTATTCTGGACATTTCTCATAAAAGGACCCATTTTCTTGGCATATATTTTCTTGAATCGCTGTAAAAATCTCATTCAAGGATGAGGGGTAGGGTAAAATGATTGTGTTATGTTGTGGCTATCAAACAATCATCCTTTACTCTTTTATTTTCAACATCCTCTTTTATTTTAGTGATCCTGTTATGGCTGACCCACTACGTGGTGTTTCTGGCTTTGTGCATGTTCTAGAGACCAACGATGAGGGTAAGTAACCCAATAAATTCTTGATAACTATTACAGAACAGTATTTGGTCACTGCTTAACCTTTAGGAAGAGAAATCAAGTCAGAAGGGAACTGAGTTCATATTAAATTTCTCATAACATGAACTTCAACCCACATGCACTTTTCAGTCTTTTAACCTCTTTGATCTCCAAGTCTGATGGTCAAAGCCTTGTTTGAGGCGCTGCTGTCTTCCTGGGGTCTGGCTAGCAGGTTCTATTTACTAAGGCAGGAGAAGTATATCCATTTAACCAGGGGAAAAATCGGAGAAGATCATGCTCTGAGAAATTCAACTGAGGTTTTACTGTAGCTAGTAATCCAGCTTTAACTTAACAGATAATTTTGTAATTTGAGGAGTAAAGTAGGGATAGAAACAAAAGATGCTACCATAGGCCTCTGTGAAATAGGATTCAATTGACTTTTTTTTTTAAACTCACTTAGTGTATTTATTTAGTGTATCCATCATCTAAATTATGGTGCCACCCATGTGAGGTAGGTGACTAGGAACAGAATAATAAAAAGGGAGACAAAACAATGCTTAATAATGATAAGCTAAATAATGAACTTTATTGGCATCCCCCCTCCCCCCCAAAAAAAGGGAAGGAAAGAGACCTAAAAACATAAACTGAGACATTGAACTTAAAGACTAAGCTGAATTGACCAATTACTGGTTGTTTTCCCATCTTTGCTGAGTTTTCCCACTAGTGTATGGTGCTAAAGACTTGGCCTGTAAGGACACAGGGGACACTTTGAGTAGCTACCCGGAGACCTCATTTCAGCGATGAGGTTGGGGAGGGGGATGCTGGACGTGACACATAGATTCTTGGGGACAGAGCTTGGGTCTTCATCTCTGCCTCACCATTGTTTCGTATTAGGCCTCAGAGAGTGTGATTACACATTCAGGTAGACCTTGTGGATGAATTAATAAATGCTGAATGATTGGCCTCCTCACCAAGACAACCCTATTCATCCATCTACCTGTCCTGTCTTTTTGGGTAAACCTACAGAAAAAGGTGGCCATGAGGAACCTTGATAAAGAGTGGAGATAAGGAAAATTTAAATAATTTTTCCTCTGTTTCCATTTTTTTTTTGAAGCACCAAACATTTTGGTATGTTTTTAGAATTTATCATTGCTAGCTAGAGCGAGAATAAGGTGACTGGAGGTTGAAGGAGCGGAAGACTTTTAAACAGCAGTGTACAAGAACAAGGTCACCATTATGTGGTGAATTTTGAAAGCTCATTAAGTTCAACCCGGATGGGCTGCCTGTGCAGTGGAGGAACAAATACACAACCTAGAAGTGATGAATTGTTCATTGGGTTTAGCAGTGTTTTCTTCTGTGGGGGCAAACACCACCTTCCATGGGTGGTTTTCTGGCATGGAACATACTGCAGGCCTTCATTGGATGAGGATGTTGAAAGCTCGTGGCTGTGTGGGAATACACAGTCTTTGGGAAAGGGAAATCAATGTCCTCGGACAGGGAAATCAATGGTGTTTTTATAGGAAAAATCCAGCCAGCTGCCAGTTGGTCAGCTCACTGACCACCATTGCTGTCCCTTGTGGGGCTGTAAATTACCCAGGGTATAAGTGACCTAGCCAGACATTGCTGCTACAAATGGGAATTCTAACCTAACCTGCTATTGGCAGACCCTTGGCACTTTTAGCAGCTTTTGAAAACCAGCCTGACCAGGCTCAGCTTCTGGCAGTGTAAAGGCACTCACTCCTTTACGAAAGAAAGCTTGAAAGGCTAATTTACACACTTGAATATATGGGAAGTGTTGGGATTCATTTAGGGTTTCAAAGTATTACCATAGCATGACAGTTGCCAGATTTGCATCTCATTCCCAGGGCTTGTCTGCTGTGGCTGGGAGGTGGGGAGATCTCCTAAGTCAAAGCAGGCTAAAGATTTGGACTCTTGGAGCTAATATTGGATGCATGGTGAGGCACAGTTTAATACAGCTATGTCCAGCTTCCAAGTCACTACCCAAGGCTAGAGCAGTGACCCAGCTATGGGTGGCAGTTACCATGTCTAGGTGCCTCCCCAAGGTCCCACCAGTGGAGCTATTCCACCACCACACTCAGTGACCTGCTTCCTCCCTGCCCCCCCCACCGGCCCCTACTCTGGAAGAAATACAAACATTCTTTTCCTTGCAGTAGCCATGGAGGGAAAAGAAAATTCATGGATTAAGGTATTTTGCAACCTCATGGGAAAATATGTTATTATATTCCATAAATGGCAAATTAGAGCAAAACTGGAGTATAGGAACACACACACTATATATATACATAGCACATATATGTAGCACTTGTCACAGGTCTAAAGTCACTAGTCATGTTGGTCATTTAGCGTCAATGTATACTTCTGTTTGCATCTACAATGGTGATGTTTGCTGTATTCAGTTTTATAGCCTGAAAAGTTTATTGGTTAGAGGTGTTTTTAGCCTGTTACTCTGTTTCGAGATTGTGTCACAAATGGGCTACCAGTGGCTCTGGCGGATTCTCCCCTCTCTCTGCGCTGCTTCTCTGGTTTATGAGAAGCAGCTTTGCCCTCCTCCCTTTCATGCTGGTGATTGGAGGCCAGAGGGGCAATGATCACTGTTTCCAGACACTCTGCACCTAAGTTTATTATTCCCTTTTCAGAAGGTCAGAAGGAGCCAGCCACTCCCAGAACCTTAGTCCTGTTTGAAAGGTGAGAATGCCCACAAATGCCAAAATGCAGTGTGGTCGCCCTGTCTAGGAAAGAACATGTCCCAAGTCACCCTTTCTGGGCAGCACTTCTTCAGTGATGGGTGGGACTGGCTCACACTGGCTAGGGAAACTGGACACATCTCTTCCCAAATACCAATAGCTTGAAATTGACCCTGGTGGTAGTATGGGCTAATACAAACCAGGGCATCTCCCCCAGACTACACAGTTGGTAAACATTTTTCCACCAAAAAGAATTGATTTTAGTAATTAGTATTCTAGTCAGGATCTTTAACATCTCACTATTTCATAGAACTTAGAAATCATTTGGGAATGGGAGATGGAAAGAGAAAGCCAGAGAATAAAATAAAGATGAGAAATAGTTTTCCTTTCTAGATATTCTAGATATCTAGAGAGAGATGGACAGAGAGCTGATAGATCAGTTCCATAGGTCAGAAAGCCAGAGATCAAAGTAAAGCCAGCCTGCTCTGTGCCGCGTGCTTCCCAGCAGTCTCACGTGGAATTTTCACTGTGGTTCTAGATCAAGCTTCTTTTTTTAAAATTTATTTATTTATTCGTACAGAACTGGGGTACAGGCCAAAGATGCAGAGGGTGCGAGGCTTCACCAGGGACAGAGTGGGGAACAGAACAGACAGATCGACGAAGTACACTGCTGAGGGGAGCAGCGGGCGGGTCAGGAGAGGTCTGCCGCGCCATGTGGATCTCCTCCGGGGCAGGCGGGAATCGAACTCATGCGGAAGTGGCTTAAGCTTCCTTGTGCTGTGCTTTAACCCGCTGCGCCACCAGGGAGGGCCCAATCAAGCTTCTTTTTAAGTAATTTAATTTACTATCATAGGAATTAGTTTAATTTTACTGAAAAGTAAGGACGGGAACCTAGAAAGCTATGTTTCCTGTTGGAAATTCATGTTTTTACTTCTATCTTTAAGTAGAATTGCCAAATTTATCCCAACTATGAGACACGAGAAAGTGCCCAAGGCGCACACACTGCAGTTACTTAGGCGCTAATTAGCAAGCAAGTCGTCCTACAGTTTTCTTTTGTACCGCCCAACCCCATGCCGGCATCTGTGTCTTTAGTCGTGTACATTTTAGATCTAGTTCACCCTTGATTATAGCGACTGGGCTACTTCCCTTTCCCTGCAGAGAGATAGATTAGAGACAATTGATAGATTACTTTTATAGGTAGAATTGAATCTGTTTTTATAAATAAGTAGTAAGTAGTACCTTATTACTAGCTCACATTTATTAGCACCTACACGCCAGACTCTCTGCTAAATTCTTTACCTACATTATTGGTAATTTCATTCTGCCCCAGTAAGGGGACAACTTTTGCTCAGTGACCTCAAATTAAGGGAAATGACAAGCTCTGTTGGTATTCAATGGGCTCCATTGTCCCTTGACTGTTACTGCTTATCTTGTACTGTGTTGGTTTCTAACGAGATTAAAAAACAAGGTCCTTAAAGGGGCAGGGACAGTAGTTAAGACATAGAACTCTATCTTATTCCTTGCTCCTTAATACCAAGGGCATAGTGTTTGATCTTAATAAATAGTTGCTGAATAACCAAATGAATGAACAGACAAATGAATGAATGAGCAAACAGACCAGAGAGCACTTAGATGCCAACTGGCAGTCAAGTTTTAGGTGTGCAAAGGAAACATGAAAGTGTCCTTAAGGCCTTGAAGTTTAGAAATCTTTCTAACCAGCAGACCCAGGAGTGATCAGTCTGAACATTCCAGAGCTAGCATTCTCCAAAGTGTGTTTGTCAGACATCTACTCACATGCATTTGGGAGACAATATTGTCCAGTTCGTTCATTACACACAAGTGTAAGTTTCCAAAAAATCTTGTTAGGGAAAGCAGATCCCTAAGCTTTGTCTAAAATAGTGTTTTCCAGATTGAGTGAACTGCAGATCCCCTTTTTTATGTACTTGACTTAATAAATAGCCTATGAGTGTCTCTCTGAACACACTTTGGAAGTTGCTGATTAATGTGATCCCCTCATTTTCCTGCTGAGTTTGAGAAAGACTGAGTATTTTACCCAAGGTCCCAGAGCTAATTGATAATAGATTCAAGCCATGGATTCCAGGATTTTCTGACTCTTAGGTGGTGCTTTCCATGACACTACTAAACCTTTCTAATGGCAGCTCCACTGGCAACAGCCTTGGCTGGCCCTTCACTGATGGTGCACCATTGCTGAGCTGGCAGGAGGCCGTCCAGAGACCTGACTGGTGGGAATTCGAATGAGACACCCAAGTTGGTAAATTACTGCATGTGAAACAGTAAGAGCTGATTCCCTCTGAAGAATGCAAGCACACACTCCCCCCCCCCACCTCCCCTCATCTACTGGACCCTCATAAAGATATATGCACCCAAACGAGAGCATTTGCCCAAATCACAGTATTTGAATAGAACTGGGGTGTAGGTCAGAGGTGGGGAAGGGTGAGCGGATTCACCAGAGACAGAGTGGGGAGCAGGACAGGCAGATCCACTCAAATACACTGCTGAGGGAGGCAGGGGGTGAGACAGGAGATGTTTTCTTTGCCATATGTGGGATAGCTCCCTGGCTGGGGATCAAATTCAGGCCATAGTGGTGATGGCACTGAAACTTCACCCATAGGTCACCAGGGAGGACCCCCCCCCCCAGATAAGAGCATTTAAAGAACACATCCTCACTGCTGCACTGGTAGTTATTATTATAGACAGCGAATTTCAGTTGTCTGCACAGGTGGAGGACAGCAGCTCTGTAGGTCATCTCAACCGATTGGCAGCCAGTTGAAGACCAATACAACACACACAGTACAGATATACATACACACACCCCTTGCGGGACCTTTTGGTATCTGATTTTGTCATACCCTTTGCACAGTCTTCTTTGCCTGGCAGCCCTTCTTTCTCATTTCCAGCCCTATCTTGTTTACAAGTGTCTTCCTCAAGGAAGTCTTCCCTGTCTATGCCAGTCAACTGGTCTGCATCCTTGCAGCACACTCTGGGCTGTACCAACTCCCACATGGATTTCCAAGGACCCTGCAGTGGTTTTAACATGTGGCATCTTTGTCCCCCACTCAACATTGACTTGATGACTCCAGTCATTGGTGTAGAATCAGGAGGGCACCGGGTGCTCGTGTTGACCCAGTATTGCTGCCCATGAATGAAATTCTTCAGGTCAGAAAGAGGTGTGTGTTGGGCTCTCCCTGATGGTGCAATGGGTTAAAGCACTGAATTATGAAGCTCTCTAAAGCTACTGCAGCATGAGTTCGATTCCAGGCCAGGAAGCTGACCCAAATGACTCAGTAGGCCTCTCCTGACCTGCCCACTGCTCCCCTCAGCAGTGTATATCAGTGAATCTGCCTGTTCTGCTCCCCACTCTGTCTCTCGTGAATCCTCTCACCCACCACACCTCTGGCCTGTACCCCAGTTCTATAAGCATAAATAAATCTTTAAAAAAAATTAAAAAAGAAAGAGGTGTGTGCAGCAGCTTGGGGCATGGGCTTCTGCTTTCACCAGAAACTCAGGCCACTTTGTGACTGAGCTGTGAAGAGGACAAACCAAGTGAAAGGTGCTGTGGGTAACGGGGGTGAGGGCCGATACCTGCACCTGAATTCTCAGTCCTCGTTCGTCACAAGCACCCTGCTTCCTCTTCTGTCCTCCCTTCCACCATCACACTCGGCCCCACTTTCATTTTTAACTTCCAGGAAAGAAGAAATTCAAATTTAAAGCCTTGAGGAACTTTTTTGGCAAGAAGAAGAAAAAGGCTGAAGCTATCCAGGGAGGGAGCGTGCTGAAACCCAAATTGCCCAACAGCAATATTAACATCACTCCTCTGAAACCACTTCCGGAGGGTCACCAGATTGAGCCTCAGTAAGCTCAGGTTGGGTGGAAGGGGATGGGAGTGGGGCAAGGGACACACAACTGGATCCAGGTTACCCTTTGGCAGCCAAACCCTAGTGGACCTGTGGTCCCAGGGCCTCTCGGCCTCCCTTCCTGGGGCTGTACGCTTGTTTGGGCTGGGCATGACAAATGCACACTCCATTCCCCACAAGCACTGGGTGACAGGGTGCAGTGAGATCAGGGGCCCTCACCATCATAGCTCCAATAACTTGAGATCTGGGGCCTGCCACTGCTGACAGCTGGGTCCTCTGTTGCACAAGGGAAGGACAGCCTGTGTCATTGCTGGCCTCCAGAACTCAGAACGCACAATTAAAGACTCAGCTAGAGAAACCACCTAGCCGGGTTGGGCCATAGGCATGAAAGCTGATTAAGCTGATTGGCGCCAGCAGGTCATAGAGAAGCAATGAATGAAAGTTGGTATGTGTGGTTAATGAACAAATGCCCTCTTGCAAATCAGTCAACATAGATGAAAGGTTTATCTCTGGATCCTCAGTTCTCTTCCATGGTTCTGTGTATGTCTAGCCTTCTGCCAATACTGCACTGTCTTGATGACTAACTTTGTAGTAAGTTTCAGTATCAGCAAATATGATAGCTTATAGATATAAGTCCTGTGACTTCTTTTTAAGATTGTTTTGTGTATTTTATTTATGGCCCCTTGAATTTCACAATGATTTTGAAGACCATGTCTGCAAAAATGGAATTTCAATAGGGATTGCATTAAATCTGTGATTAATTTATGGAACAGGATTGCCATCTTGAAAAGATAAATCTTTTAAGTCAAGCACATTGGTTGTCTTTCCATTTATTTAGTCCTTCTTTAATTTCTTTCATCAGTGTTCTATACTTCTAAAAGCATAACTTTTACATGCTTTCTGTTAAATGTATTCCTAAGTATTTTATTGTTTTTGATGCTGCTGTATTTTCTTAATTTCCTTCTTGGATTGTTCACTGCAAGTAGACAGAAATACAACTCACTGTCATATATTAATCTTGTATCCGCAAACTTGTTGAACTCATTTTTTAGTTATTGTATTTTTAAATGGATTCTTAGAGAAGTTTTTCTTTTTAGTAGTCTAGAGTGTCATTCTCCCGCCCCTATCCTGCCGTGAGTTCACAGGGACTGGGCTGCAGACGCTCAGCCCCCTCCCTCAGGCTGGCACACTGTGGCTTCCCTGGGTGGCACAGGCGCCTTCCATGGAAGCCGTCTACCTTTCTGTTAGCTTCCCTCTTTGCTCATCATTTTCTTCCACGTGTGTCAGGAAGCTACGCCGGCTCTTGGAGCGCGCAATATGCTCAAGGCAAACATTCATCGTCTTGCCAGAATCCTGCCCTTGTAGTGCCGCGTGGCACTACAGATTCTTGGGATTCAGCCCCCCGGAGCACTGGTGGGCATCCCTGTGTGAACCGGGTCCACTCCTGGATAGCCACAATGTCACCTTTCTTGTAGATTTGCCTGTGCGTGGCCAAAGGAACCACCCCAAGTTTTCAAAAAGGCCTAGAGCGCACAGAGCAGGCACCTCTCCCTTCGCTCTGGTCATTTTGGAGACTTACTGGGAAATGGTGGTTCCTGGATGCGTAAGAACATGGCATCTGTGATTGCAGATAATATCATGTCTTCCTGTGCACAATGGGTGCCTTTTATTTCACTTTCTTACCTGGTTTCCCTGGTATTGAGAAGTAGTGAGTAGTCTTGTTCCAGATCCAAGGGAAGAAGCATCTCTCTTTAATTACTAATTATGACTTTAGCTGTGGGATTCTTACAGATGTATTCTGCCAAGGTTGAGAGCATTCACCAAGAAAAATGCTTTTTCTGCATCTGTTAAAGTGATATTGATTTTTGTTTTATTCTATTGATACAGTAGATTACATTACTTGATGGTCATATATTAAATTTGTGTTGCTTGCACACCATATTTGGTCATACTGTAGAATTCTTTCCAGGTGTTGCTGGATTCAGATTAATATTTTATGGAGGACTGTTGCATCTCTATTCATAAGAGATACTGGTCTGTAGTTTTCCTTTCTTGTGGTGTCTTTGGTTGAAGTTTCTAGAAGGTTAAAAATATATTCTCACATTCTGAAGGCGTATCTGTGTAATATACTGTGCTTATGTGTGTAATATATGTATATATTAAATAGGACCAAGATAGTCTTTCTTATTTCACTTACTGCCTCCTGGATAATTTTCTGTGTCAGCACAAATGCATCTCTACCTTCCTGCTGAGGTATCTGTGGTAGGCCATATTATAGGCTTACATGTGCTTTCAGTTCTGATGGACCTTGGGTTGCTTTTACAAGACCATTTCCTTCTTGTCCAGGGTCAAGAGACTCCTAGGGAACAAAGCTCTGTCCCACGACAGCATCTTCATGTTGAACCCTGAGCGCGAAAAATCAGCAATTAAATTATACTCCTCTCCAGGACCACACAGAGGCAGAACAATGCAGGTAATATGAACTTGAGCATCAGTATCTAATTGAACTACTCCATCTCTTCATTGCCCTACTCCTATCCCACCAAACACTAAGGATGAACATGGCCCTGCTTTTCAGCTGATTCTGTCTCTTAGGGCTGTTGTACACACTGAGAGTCTCTAGATATAATGTGCTTTCCTGGTGCCCAATGCCCAGTTGGCTGGTGTTACCACATGCTCTTCTCTTGGTCAGAATGCTGTCAGTATTATGACAGTGACATCTCATTGTCAATGTGCAGACATTCTCAGACACCCTCCTCCCCTCCATGTTTTTTCTTTCTTTCACAGAGAAGATATAACATTTCCAGAACTCTACCTAGAACTGGGCCTGGTAGTACACATGGAGATCTTTCTGGAATTGTATTTGGATCTGTGCCTTCATGTTCACCCAGAAGTGGAATCTGGGCTGCGGGCACCAAGATGACTGAGGTAATGTAGTGGAATTATTTAATACTTGACAGCTGACTCAGACAGCCTTATGCTTGAATTCCGCTCTGCTCCTTACTGCTCCTTAACTTGGGCTGGTTGTTTAACCTCTCTGGGCTTTCTTAACATCATTTACTGTGGTTATAATATTGAATGTCTACCTGACAGCCTGGGTATAAATAATGAAATCTATAATTTCATTCCAAGCACTGGGCCCAGAGCAAGGATGAAAACCAAGGCTTTGAGGTCATGGATGACATGTTTGTTTCTGTCATAAGGTCTGTTCCTGGTAAAGGCAGATGTTCAAACTCTTGGCCAAGGAAAAGGAGCCACAGGGGAGTTTGCCAAGGTTCTGCCCCTGGGTACTCTTGGCCAGCGTGTTAGGCACTCTTTAATTACTACTAAGCCCTACGGGGAGGCTCTGAGAAGAGGCCTTGAGGATCAACCCTCCCCAAGTCCGGTTCTAATAATAACGACTAAAATAATGACAACTGACTCTCACTGAGGGTTTACTCTGTGCTAAGCAGGAAGTGCTCTCCACAGATGTATCTCAGTTGAGCTTTACAACAACCCTTTGAGTCACTGGCTCTTGTGGTTTCCAGATTTCAGACGAGAACAATCAGGTCTAAGAAATGACATGACTGGTCTTAATTCTCACACTGGCAGAGCCAGCATTTGAAAGGTCGCTTTGCCCGTGTTCTTCACCACTGTGCATACTGTCTCCTAACTGTAAGACTCAGGAAGGAGATGTCCCTCTCCGAGTATAACATCAATAAGCAGAAGAGATGATCTTCCTGCTTCCCTGAGAAGGGCTGCAGAAAGCACATGTGCATATAGAAAGTCTTATTTAAAGTGAGATGTCTTTGGGGCCTCCCTGGTGGTGCAGCGGTTAAAGTCTCAGCACTATGAAGCTGTCACCAGTCACTGCAGCATAAGTTCAGTTCCTGGTGAGGGAGGTGACCCACATGGAGCAGCAGACCTCTCCTATCTCGCCTGATGTTCCCCTCAGCAGTGTACTTCGTGTACACTGCCTGTTCTGCTCCCACTCCGTCTCCCCACTCATCACCAACCCACCCCCCCCACCTGCCCACACCTCCGGCCTACACACAGCTTTCATATGCATAAATAAATCTTTTTTTTTTTTTAAAGTGGGATGTCTGAAAGAAAAAGAAGGGGAAAAGGCTGTAGAGCGAGAATCAGGCTTGTGAGCAGGAAGAAAGAATGCTTTGCAGCATCAATTTCTTAAAATACTGAATTCAGTTGGATTCAACAAGAAGATGCTACCAATGTGCTATTATATCTTCTTCTTTGTCTTCAAGCAAAAGAAACAAAATGTCTTGAGGAGTGATGTAGGCACCCACCTTCCTAGCACTTCAGAGAGGCTGTCAGGTAGACATTCAGAAGGAGCAAAAATCTGGCTCAGCTTTGGCATTTCCACATCTATCTGGAACTTTCAGCTGGATGTTAATATATGCCCATTATAGATAGTTAGCCAATATTTATTAAAAATAAAATCGGGCAATCTCATCCATATCCATGGCAGGAACTATGCCTCAAATCCACATGTACCTTGAGTATCAAATTGGAATCAACTAGTCTGCTGAAGCCCAAGGAAAACCCAAATGATCAATTTTATCCTCCTAGGAAACTGGTAAAGCAAATCTAACCTGAGCTACTTCTGTAATTTTCTAAGAATCCCAGAAAATCAATCTTGACAGGATTAAGATAAGCAACTAACAGTCAAGATACAATCTAGACAATTTTTGAAGTAACAGTGTAAGAATTGTACTTTTGATGCCAAGCCCAAGTCATAACCCAAAAACTCACCTCCATAAGAACCAGACTTTCAAAGACAGTGCCAAGGTCAAAACAGTGGTCAGAATCAAGCAAGATTCATAGTGTTGGTAGGAAAATAAAACCAGAGTTCTGGTTTTATCAAACAAGCAATGTGAAGCTTCTGGTTTTTTGTTGTTGTTGTTTGTTTGTTTGGGGATTAGCAAAAATGTGCAGCAAACCAGAGTGTGAATCAAGGTTGTTGGTCTTGGGTTAGTAAATACTGAAGTGAAGGCGTGGAAGTAGGAAATTCATTCCTAGCCTTGTTTACCTTGGGGTATGAATCCCTTGACCATTAAGCAAGATACCTGTGAGTTAAGGACTATCCCACAACCTGTAATGATTTCCTCTTAACCTGATGTTGACAGGTCCCACCAGTGCATTCACGCCAGCCCAGCATCAGTTCTACTCTTATCCAGTCTGACACCATCACTGAGGACCCTGAAGAAATTGCTGTGGATAATGAGTCACCTAAGAACCTACAAAAGAGGACTTTGCCACAGGTCTTGACTTTGAAGAAGGTGAGTGTTAGCCCCTTCCTCAGTGTCAGGTCGGGTGAGGGGCCGCAAGGGACATCAACTCGTCTTGTATTCTTTTTTCTTTCCTGCTGTAGCTCAATCCTGGGTGTGGGGAAAGATTCACCACTCCTGATTTTTGATCTGCATGGTGGTAATTCTAAAAGCCAAGTAGCACCACTTTCATTTATAAGCACTAGAAACACTGTGACATGGACACCAGATCGCTCTAAATTTGTGCAACCAATGCCTAGCAACATCCTGTTTTAGAGACCCAGAAACTGAAGCTCAAAGAGGTTAGGTGATTTGTTCAAGGTTAAACAGCCAATACATGACATGGTTAGGACCAAGAATTCAGGTTGATCCAGTTTCAGAGTTCATGTTCTCATTCTCTAGACTAGCTAAGAAGTCCAAATGATTGTGATAGGAGGAGGGCTACAGGGGATATAGAAACTCCACCTTCTAGAACTTTTAGATTGGCAGAATTGGTGGGTCACAACAGCTTTTATTTAACAAAGAGTCTTGAGTGTAACAACAGTTGCACAAACATTCTCCAGCTTGGGCACAGGAGCACTTTGGCATTCTGGAAATTAAAATCCTGACAGTGAAATCAGGTATCATATCAGTACCAGTATTTTCTTGGTATAGGAACCATCCACTGAAAACCTCTTTGTTTAAGAAGCAGCCAAACTGGCTTTCTCTGCTTCAGTCAAGTGTCTCTCATCAACAGTGTTAAAGGAAACGTTAGCATCATATACCAAAGAAGCCGCCAAAACGATGAACCAAAAGTACTGGGTCTAGAAACAGACAAAGGGGGGAACAAAGAGCTAGAATGTGTTGGAATTTTCCAAAGGGCAGCTCTCAGCCCCCGACTACTAGCAGAAGAATGTCTAGCATCACTGGTGTTATGCCTCCTTTCTCATGACCCACGGCCTGGCCCCATCCTTCCCCAGGAAGAGTCTGGATTGGTTAGGTACCTGTCCTGGAACAGCTCCCTGTTGACATGAAAAATGCTCATTTTACTCCAGGTGTTCATCAGAAGTGCCTATGCCGGCCCCTCTCTACAGCACGGAAGAGGAAGGAAATCAGCCGGTCTTGCTGAATAACATGCACACGGGGTATAGAGAGGGACGTAAGGAAAGGAGTGTAGCTCAGGCTAGAGCATTTGACTGCATAGAAGACACAGTACAGGGAGGGCAGGCTGCAGTTTCAGGAGACAGAGAAGGAAAAGTAGAGAAAGGAGTCCCATTTCACTCCCTCACTTTTCCTTCAGAAACGTGCCAGAAAAGGATTTAGTTGGCTTTCCTTCCAAAAAGGCTCATAAAATCCTATGTTTGCCTCCTGTGGTCAATTTTCTAGGTTTCTCCTAACCAATATGGCTGATAGAGAAAGTTGAGCCTAAGAAGGATTCCCACTTCTCAAAGCATGTTCTGATCTCCCTGCTCCTGTTACTAGGCAACTGCTAGGATTATACAGCAAATTGCCATGCTTCTCTTTGAAACTGGGAGCCTTTCTGTTCATGCCAGAGGATTAGGCAGTGATTCCCAGTTCTTCCCCTCCCTCTGACTGACTTAAAGAACCTGTTCAACCTATACTATGTCCCTGCCCTGACAAATATCATGTCTTGATATGTCCTTAAAATGTGCTTTGAAGATGGTTGGGGGGAGGAGTGTTCCCCAGAGCAGAGTTCCAGAGAATCTGAATAGTTTATTTAATGAATTAAACTATACACATGAACAAATGATATATAAATTCCATAATATTTTATTTAATGAATACACCTTAAGAAGTTACATGCACATATTCTACGTCCATACGACATGCTAGAATCCCAACAACGGAGATCATGTTGAGGTTGCTTTGAGTCAACCTGCTGAGCTTGAGTGCCATGGCAGCATAGGGCTAATGCTTGATGGCTTTGCTCTCTAAATTTTAGCCTAGATTTGAGGGTAGCTGGGGGCCCAGAGACTCCTTAATGATAGTCAATCAAACACAAGGAGACTGGTAGCTATTATTAAGTTTAATGGACTCTTGGCTTAAGCTGTGACTGGGAATAGATAAGCTCTCTGCTGCCCACATTCAATCTAGAAACTGCCAGAATCTTGCAGAGCTCGATGTGTTATGTTGTAGAATGAATTTCACTAAGTGGTGCTTTTGTCTATTATGTTTATGCTACAAGGTTTGGCCAACTGAATTGAAAATGATTATTAAATGGGTATTACTGTCACTGGTTTTCATACAAAGTAAGTTTCTTCCTTGCCTTTTCCATTTCCCTTTGATGGAGCTAGTGAGGTCTAAGAGAGAATAATTGGGATGATACAGGGAAGAGGGCACTTTCTCTGACAACTCCTCAGAAAGACAATGACTGGTAGAAGCCTTGAGCATAATGCATTCACCAACTCAGCAAACATTTATTGAGCAACTACTATAGGCTAAGCACAGTTCTATGGACTAGGGATCCATTAGTAGATAATCTAGATGGAAACCTTTATTTGTAGAGTTTATATTTGTAGTGGGAAGATAAATGAGCGCATTAGACAGGACTTTAGATAGTGAACAAAGTCTGAAGGAGAAAAAGAAACCATGCAGGTAAGGGAATTATGAAGTGTCAAGGCAGAGTGCTAAAACTGTAGACAGGCTAGCCAGGAAAAGCCTCGCTGAGAAGGTGGCTTTTGTATCAAAACCTGAAAGGAGGTGAAGGCATCAGCCACAGGGACAGGGGGAAGCCCATGCCCAGCAGAGGGAGACAAATGCAAATGCCCTGAGGGAGACCAAATGGGAGATTTGTGCAACAGCACACCCTGCTGGTGAGTCTGAAGCAGAGACAGGTAGTGAACGTGTTTGGAGAGGCAGTAAAAAGACAGATCTTGTGAGGTTAGTGGGAGAATAGATGTCCTCATCTGGTAAAGTCCACTCAGAAGCACGTCGAATTTCAGAATAATAAAACAAGACACATTTCTGTACACTGAGTATTAAATACACAATTACAGGAGCTAACACAAGTCAGATGTTCAATATCAGGTAGAGTTTGAAATACATTTGTGGATGACGGCTACAAAAAGAAGTTAGAACAGAGTGCCTATGTCCCTTTGAATAGTTGCTTTTGTGCTCCTTGGGTAGTAGGTACCTAGGAGTGGAATTGCTGGGTCATCTGGTAGATCTACTGTAGCCATTTGAGAAAGCCTCCACACTGTTGTCAATAGGGGCTGCACCAGTCCACATCCTCAGCAACAGCATGAGAGGGCGTGGTGTTGTAGCAACCTGCAGGGGAGATCCTACACCTGTATATCACAGGCAGTGTTGTAAATCAATGTTATCTGGATAAGAAAAAAATTAAAGGAGGGTTTGGACAACTCCTAATTTTGTGTGATTGACTATAAACGATAACTGTGGTAGTTCCCCCCTTTTCTTTGAATCAAAAGCAGAATGTGCACTAGGTGGATCATCAGCCTGACTCATTAGCACTGATCACTTGGGGATAAAAAAACCGTTTTGGCGTGACAGTCCTAGCTGGGTTGTTACTGGATCAGCACACAACACTGAAGGGTCATAAAAGCTGCAAAACCAAAGGGGGTCCCGGCATTGTGTACAGCTAGTTTTTATAAAACCAGTGCGTGAACACAAAGGGAATTGTGCCCACCTGTAAATGGCAGCATTTCCCACTGGTATCCAGGAGAGTGTGCGTCATCACCTGACCGCTGAAGGGGCTTCTGCTAACATCCAAAGCTTCTTAGAAATAAGAGGTGCTCTGTTGTGTCTGCAGTGTGCAAATGCTGTGTAATTGGCCTTCCCTGGTGGTGCAACAGATTAAAGCACAGCACTATGAAGCTATCTGCAGCCACTACAGCACGAGTTCAATCCCCAGCCCGGGAGCTGACCCACATGGCGCAGCAGACCTCTCCTGTCTCACTCACTGCCCCCTCAGCAGTGTATTTCAGTCAGTCTGCCTGTTCTGCTTCCCACTCTGCCTCCGGTGAACCCTCTCACCTCTGCCCCGCACCTCTGGCCTGTACCACAGTTCTTGTGTGCACAAATAAATAAATCTTTTTAAAAAATGCTGTGTAAGAAGCGCAGAGGAGACTCTTTCATATTACCACAGAGAAACTCAACCAGGAGTCCTGGGACCAGGTAGTTTGCAGAGGTGCAGCCAGCTGCAAGGACAAAGCCACATCACCCACTCCACTGGGGGCTGTGGGGGGTGGGGGGAGGGGCGGTGCTCAGCTTAACCAGCCTGGCACCAGGGACTGTCAGTGCAAGTAAAGGTCCTGTTCTGTCTGCACACGTAGCTCTCACACAGGCCTCTTTCAGCTTGATTCTTCCCCTGCCACTCAGTGCTGCTTTGGAGAAAGCACAGAGCCCCTGGCAGCTTCTGCTGACAGGTTTTGTGCCTCTTGTTCAAGTCAGCCCCTCCTGTTTATAAAAGGGGACTTTCAGATGAGAACATGCAAACCTTCTGACTTGTAGCATCCCTTGGGGTGCTACCCTGAGGCCAAAGGGGAGCCCCAGAATGCTTTATTAGCAGGGGGCCACCTGGATTTCCTGCTTCCTGCAAAAGAACCTACAAAAAGCATGCACTTTGTCTCAAACGAACCTCTTGACCAGAAGTTTCGATGTTGCTACTGGAAAAAGGGCTAGCAGAAAGATTTCTTCTTTAGGAATCTCTACCCAGAGGAATTCCTGACTTTTGCAAGTAGTAGCCACATATGGGTGACCTGTTTCTTTTCTCTCCTTTTCTCCAGAGCTCCTCTGAGTCAATATCCAGACCACCTTCCTTGGATGAAGTGGCTATGCCTGACTCTCCCAGCAGCATGCTGCCGTCTACTAGCTTCAAGACCCCAGCCAACACCCACGGCGGTTTGGATACTTCAGCTCCTCAACACAAGATGCCTTTAAGCTCCCGAAGACAAAAGAAATACCCTCAGACAACTGTAAGTCCTTTGAGAGACCTGCTGGGAATAAAGTCTGGTGTAACACAAGGCCAGTTCCCACTTTTGTAATCTGCCCTGGGAAAGCAACTTGGCTTGTGTATCATAGCCTAAGGGGACGTAAGTCAAAGGCACGTTTCAGACTGGACTCACCCAGAGCGGTGAGCAAACTTGCAACTAAGATATCTGGTCCTTGTGGAACTTACAGAAAGGGGCCAAAGAAAACAGAAACAGTGACTGAAGCCCCCAGGCATTGCTTATTGACTCAGCATCTGGAAAATCACTCCGTTTTCTCGTAGAGGCTATTTAGTGATGGTGCTGATCAGGATTCTTTTACTTATTTATCAGAAGAGACCCGCAAGTTACCAAAGGAGCACCCGTCCATTCCTTTGGACTCCCAGCAAGCCCAGGCGTCCAGAACCCAGCTATTAACACCTGGTGTCACAAAAATATGTCACACGTTTTAACGCCTGACTTTCTAGTGGGTAGAGCAGTACTTAGGTGACCTGACCATTAAATACATGGCCACAGGTCAAACTCTGATTTGAAGGCAAAGTGAAGTGACAGCTGATAGCAGAGAGATGACAAAGTGGAGGGATCAAGAGCCTTGCCCACCTCAGTACGCCCCCCCTAGGGCCACACTATATCACAGTCCAATATAATAGATGATATTTATTATCTCTCCAAGCAATCAAAAAGAGTTGAATAGTGTTCCCTGCTCTCTGTTTAAGAAGACAGGGCAGGAATGCTTTGGAAGGTTTTTACTAAAAACTAAGAATTAAGGGGCCCTTCCTGGTGGCTCAGCAGGTTAAAGCACAGCACTAAGAAGCGAAAGCCATTTCAGCATGAATTCAGTCCTCACCCCGGAGGTGATCCACATGGCGCGGCAGACCCCTCCTGACACACCCGCTGCTCCCCTCAGCAGTGTACTTCGTCGATTTGCCTGTTCTGCTCCCTACTCTGTCTCTGGTGAATCCTCTCGCTGCCCCTGCACCTCTGGCCTGAACCCCAGTTCTGAATGAATAAATAAATCTTAAAACAAAACAAAACAAAAACCTAGGAATTAAAATAAATCAGTTTTGCAAACAGTGTGTGGCAGTGAGTGAGCTGGGGGATTCACTTTGATGAAACACCCAGTTCATCTGTGACTTGAGGCTATAAGCAGAGGGCTGCAGACCTGGAAGAGTCTACAGTGTTGTAGTGCGAGCATTTTTCAGGGAAGCGTGGGAACACACCAAGAGTAACCCAAGTTAAATACACAGGCTGTGGCAGAGCTGGGGCCAGGCCCAGTCCAGCGCTGCTCACGGCTACCACGTGGCCCCTAGCTTAATCATGTCAACTTTGCTCTATCAAGAGAACCAAGTCCAAGTTAAGGTCCAGTTGGCAGGACAAAGGCCAAGAGGCACTGTGGAGGCCCTGGAAGATCTCGTGTGCCAGTGTTGAGCAGACAGTGACCGGTTACCATGAACCAAAACTTAGTATGTGTGCCTAGAAGTCTCACCACGGGTCCAGGAAGTGTTGACTAAGAGGAGCTTCATGTCACCCTCTGCCTTTCTTCCTTCTGCAAAGCCTGAGTGAGAAAAGGCTTGGGCAACACTCGCAAGGGGGCTGAGACCACTGCTTCTTCCTCCTGACTCTTTCTCTGGCACATAGCTGAGTAGAGAAGGGCCCAGGATCACTCATGACACAGAGACCACCTGCTCTCTGCTTTGGAATCTCTGCAAGTCCCACGGGTGCTTACCCTGCATCTCCAGTCTATAGAGTGCACGCGGAGATTTAGACAGCAGCTTGCCCCAGGTCACACAGGAAATAAAGGGTGTAGATTTGGACCTCGTCTCTCTACCCTTCCTCACTCCTAAGTAAGTCATTTTGCACTGAGTCAAATCTGCACAGATTCTGAGTGGGAGCATTCTGGATGCTGTCGCCCTACTCTGGCAGCCTCCCCAGAGGCACTGTAATTATCTTAAAACCGTGTTTCTGCTAAACCAATTTCTACCCCTTCAGTGTGCAGGTCAAGCCCTTCATCTTTTCCCTCTCCCTTCCGAACAAAAACCAGTTCTCTTCTTTTACACTGGAAGGACATAATTTCATGCTTTCCAAAATTCCCTGAAAAGAAGCCAAAGAGGATTTGAGTTTGGCTCCGAGGTAAAGCCAGCTCGGGAACTGCAGCGTGTAGCTGTCAGTAGGCCCACCAACCCTTTCTAAGCTTTATGGCCCCTGCTACACATCAGTGATTTCTGGGTTTTTCCAGCATATTCCTTAGGTCTGCCACTGCATTGTGGTGAGTCACTCCCAACGGTGCAGTGAGCGCCATGACGGGAGCTGTAGGAAACGGTTTTCACCTTTTGTGCTGTTGTAATATGCCCAGCAGACCTGTGGGCACACCCGGGACTTTTGTCCTGACCTGTTCTTTCCCTTTTAGTAACCATGCAGGAGCAGGGAGGGAGCACTTCAGTCTAATTCCTGCTCTTTCTTTCCATCTTTTAGGTAAAAACAAGGCTGGAGGAGCCAAGTCTGCTGGTTTCTGAGGAGAAGGGCACAACCGTGCCCCAAGGGCCTGAGCAAAAGAAGCTGAATAAAGACAGCGCAGGTTGGCACCCCTTCACCCCCACCCTCACCCTGAGCCTCACAGCACGTGCATGTGGTCTGACGGGAGCTCTGTGGTGAGAATGACCTTGGCCTGCTGTCCTTGACCCTCAAACAGGTTTCAGTGGACCCGGTTTCGCCATCTAAACTGCCAAATTAATACAACTGCTACTTGTGCAGGGTTTAGGTAAAGGGGAGATTCTACTATTTTGGTGAAGTCTCAGCCAGAGAGGTGTTTTGTGTTGGGCTGTGTCCTAACGCTGATGTAGACACTGAGCTGCTCCCCGAGCTCAGCTATCTGAGAAGTGCCAGTGACCCCACACAGCATTAGACGGGATGACAAAATTGGCTAGCAAATAGTTTTTTCTCTCCTCAATTTGTATTGGTTTGCCAGTAGTTGACACACCTGTACAACATGGGGAGCACAGCTTCACCCCTCATATGTGTGCGTGCTTTCCACTAGCCCACTCACCGACTAGGGCAGAGTATCCTTATTTTAGGAAGTAAAAGCACACATTCCCTGTTTCTGTTTGGCACAGGTTCCTCAAAGCAGGAGCAGAGCAACAAAACCGAGATTTGGGATAAGAAGACAATAGATCAGGCTGCAAACATAGACAATGCTGGGAGTTTGGGCTCGCCCTTGTCAGAGCCCTTTGGAAGAAAACATGGAAGAAAAGGACCAAGTCCTTCAGAAACAAGTGAGAGTGGATCCAGAGGAAGAAATGTAAGACTGTCCAGTCTGAGGCTTGGCCTAGGTGACAGAGGTGGCTCTCTGCCTGCTGATAAAACTGCCAGTGATGCTCCAGTCTGGACCCAGTCCTTGGAGAAGCTGAACGTGGAGCAACCCCCAATTCCACAAGCAGAAACTACTAGCCCTCAGGAGTTTCTCTCAGACCAAGATGGCATGGGAATGAGAAATGCTGGTACAGATATTGAAGGCAGAAAAGTGTCAGCATCACCATTCATATCTGAGGACGTGGTGTGTTCACTAGTTAGTGGTCCACGACTGTACCATGAAGAAGAGGCTTCTGGAAGCAAGAAAGCAGTAAGCAGAGCGTCTTACTTACCAGTGGTGGAAAGCCTGCCTACCTCCCAAGATGTTTTCTCAATGGCAGTGGAGGTTCAGGTGTTTGTAGATCCTTCTCATTTCCAGTCAGAGGAGCACGACAGATCCAGCTTTGATTCACAAAATGTCCGATTTGAAATGGAGTCAGTTGAAGATATTACAAGTAATTGCAAAGAAAAGCCACCTGGAAATGTTCTCCAGGCCCTTACAGCAAGTGCTTCAGCTGCTGCACATGCTGTAGCTGAGGGAGGCATTGCTATGGCCGAGAGGCAGCATCTCAGAAGCCTTTCCCAGTCCTTGGGGAGCCTCGAAGTTGAAGTCTCAGACTCAGAAAATACTTCTGAGATGGAGGATGATTCTGACCAACCACTCACTTCTGAATGCTCTTTAGAGTCTTTCGAGATGCGTGACCATGAAGTTTCCACAGAATTAGAAAGTTTAGCTGTGAAAGCAGGTTATTCCAAGCAGCAGCTGGCTCCTAAACATTCTTCCCAGCCCACGGGTATGCACCAGGCTGACTGCAACTTAAGTTCTGAGAGTGGTTCAGTGAAGATTGATTCTGAGCAGCAGCTGGCCTTACGGAAGCCTAAAGATAACCCAGAAGTCATCACAGCATCGGAGAGCTTCATAGTGCAGTCAAGCACTTCTGATAAGCAGGCTTTGGGGAGGTCTGAAAACAAAGTCTCCACAAAAGCAAACAAATGTGTTGAAAAGTACCACCGTTCTGAGGACTGGAGCAGCTCAGAAGGAGATCTGCTTCTCAGGCCCCCTTCTCACATCTTGCGGAACCCTAAACGCCAAGTAGTCTCATTTTTAAAGGACATACCTGAGGAAAACAGTGACCCCATGCAGACACTTCCTCCCACACACCCTTCTGAACCCTTTGTGAGACTGAATGCTCAGCAACATGTCTCCTCAGGTGCAGTGAGTGCGTCTACAAAATGGAGTGTTCTAGCGCGGTCTCCCAAACACCTTTCCCAGTCCTGGCTGAGCCCCAAAGTTGAGCAGGAAGCCTCTGCGGATCCAGAGAGAGCTGCTGTTGACTGGAGCGTCTGTATAGAGCCACTGCCTCCCAGAATCTTTTCCAAGCGCCAGAGGAGACCTAAAATTGGTCAAGAAGTCTCAGATTCAAAAGGTCCAGAAGTTCCTACTCCCGAAAGGGTTGCTTCTGTGGATCTTCTGTCTCCAAAACATTCTTCTCAGTCTCCAATTAAGCCAATAGCTGAGCAAAAGATCTCTGCAGGTCCAGAGAGCATGGCTGTTGGGAGAAACATTTCCACGGAGCTGTTGCTCCCTAGCGGTCCTTCTCAGCTCTCGGTGAGAACAGTGGTTGGACAGCACGTCCTGGGGGCAGACTGCGCTGTGGTTGAGCACAGGAGTTCTGCGGAGCCCTCACTTCCCAGACAGACTTCCCAGTCTCTGATGAGGTCTCTAGCCCAGCAACAAGTCTCTGCAGGCCCAGAGTGCACTGCTTCTGGGCGGAGCATTTCTATGGAGCCACTACCTCCCAGAAACCCTTTACCACCAAGGGTGAGCCCTAAATTTGGGCCAAAATCTTCATTTCCAGAGAGCACAGCTATTGAAGGACACGTTTCTATGGAGCCTGTGCCTCCTGCAGTTCTGGCCCAGTCCTTGATGAACCCAGTAAGACAAAGTGTGTTTTCAGGTTTAGAGGGTGCAGCTGACAGTGTCATTATGGCAGAGCCACTCCTTCCTCAGGGTGCTCTCCGGTCTGTGGAAACTCCTCAAGCCCAGCATGGCTTCTCAGAGGACACTGCCATTGGTGGGGAAATGTTTGTGGGGCTACCGCCTCCCACAGGCTCTCTCCAGCCCTTGGTGAAGCCGACCTTCCCGCCACAGGTCAGGACCTCCAAAGCAGCAAGCGCTTTCACAGAATGGTGCCGTCCTGTGGAGCCAATGCCTCCCACACACATTTTCCAACCATGGGTGAGCCCTAAATTTGACTCACAGGTCTCTGCAGAGAGTGTGGCCATTGAGTGGGGCATTTCTCTGGAACCACTGCCTCCCAGAATGCCTAGTCAGCGCCTTATGAGACCGGTTGGCAAGCAAGAAGTCGCCTCAGGTTCAGTGAGTGCTTCTGCAGAGTGGGACACTACTGAGAAGCCACTGCCCCCAAGGGGCACTTTCCAACCCCAGATGAGCCTCAAGTTTGAGCAACAAGTCTCTGCAGGTGCAGAGAGCACCAGGAGTGTTTCTATGGAGCAAACAAGTTCCAGAAAGCCTTCTAAGTCCCTAATGAAAACAGCAGTGAAACAACCAACCTCTTCAGGTCCAGAGAGTGTTACTGTCGAGAGGGGTATAGCTGAAGAGCCACTGCCTCCCAGACACTCCTGGTCCAGTATGAGACATAAAGTCTACCAAGCATCCTCTAGTTTTCAGAGTGCCACCGTGGAAGGAGTTTCTAGAGCCTCAGTGACCACCAAGAATCCCACCCAGTACTTCATGAAGCCTAAAATTCAGCAAATATCATCACATCTGGAGAACATTGCTGCTGGAGGCATCTCTAAGCAACTGCTGGCTCCCAGGCCTCCTTCCCAGTGGTTTGTAAAGTTTATGGCACAGCAGATCTTTTCAGAGAGCCATACTATTGAGGGGGGAGTTTATGTGGATCCATTGGCTTCAAATCAGCCTGCCAAATCTTTGTGGAGGCCTAAAGTTGAGCCCCAGGTTTTCTCAGGTCGTGAGAGTGCTGCCGTGGCAGAAGGCATTTCTCTGAAGCAGCTTCCTTCACAGTCCTTCGGGAAGCCTAAAGACCCACACCACATTTTCTCACATTCAGGGAGTGTTCCTGTGAAGCGGAGCAGTTCTGAAGAACAGCTGCCTTTCAGACAACCTTCCCAAGGTGAGGGAGGGACTGAATTACAGTCACAGGTTTTCTCAACAGGCTTGGGAAAATCATCTGTAGAACATAGCCCTTTACAGCCTTTTGCAAACTTCAGCTATCAGAAACCAATTCATTCCAGTTCCATGAGTGCAATTCCTGAGGGAACCACTTTAGAGAGCAAAGCCAACAGCCATTCTCTACTAAAAGGTCCAGCTTCTCCAAACAAAACTAAGAAGCACAGCTCTGAAGACCTCACTAAGAACATCCCAATTCCTATCACCAAACTTGAGAGGTTCATCAGTGCCCCTGACTTGCAGATAGCCATTTCAGAGGGCACTTACTCTAAGGAAGAAGTTCTTGAGAGTGAGGGTCGAAGTGGTAACCATTCAAAGTTACCCTCCATTGGGACTGATGCTGAAAACCTATTTGGAGTCCGACTGAAAAAAGTCCCTTTCTTACAGAAGTACAAGAGTGAAAAACAAGGTAGCATCACCAAACTTTCTTCAATCTCCTTGGACCCAATTTTACCTTCCATAGGTAGAGAACAGCAAATGAGAAGAAGCACATCCCAGGGGCTCCTGGGCATTACAGAGGACCTCACCACAATCCCTGAATTTGTAGAGAAGAAACAGAGAAGGCCCATTTCTGAAACAATATCCCAGAAGCAATCCATTTACAAGATCCCAGGTGAGGGGGTACCAAATGGAGGGAAGAACTGGAAATCCAAGTCTTGACTGGGAGGGAGTCTACTCAAACCCTGCCTGCTGAGTTGCGATAAGGCTGGCTTGTGGTCTGGGGGCTAGGGCAGCACCGTCTTATAGATGAATGGGTTTGAAAATGGTTAATTTTGAGTCTTTTGTTTCCCAAAGGGACCCTCCTGGACAACTGTCCACATTGGTGATGGACATATGACCTAGTCCCTCTTCCCCACCTTCCATACAGCTTACATTTGGATATAGGTTTTTGCTTTGCTCAAAAGACTTTCATATGTATTATGCTTCCCTCAGCATAATCATGTGAATCTTGAAAGCCAACTAACTCATGATAGGCACCAGTTCAGAATCGCAGCTTGAAATGTTAACTTATTTGTCCATGTTCGTGCTTCTACAGTTTCTTCACTCGCCATCTGACATATCCAAGAATCCAGTGCGAGGTGATCATTTGAGTGTTAATCACTCTCAAAGCCATTGTCCCTTCACACATAGCGACATGTAGTCTATTTGCCTTATAAACACAACAATGGAACCTCATACTTGTTCCCTATGAGGGAACAAGCGCCATAAGGTTTTCCTTGAAGTAACAAATATTGTAAGATTTCCCTTGAGTAAAAGGAATGGTAGAAATGGCCTGAATCGGCCCTCCCTGGTGATGCAATGGGTAAGGACGCAGCACTGCAAACCAGCCGCAGCTGCTTCAGTGTGAGTTTGATCTTTGGCCCTGGAGGTGACCCACATGGCGAGGGCAGACCTCTCCTGACCTGCCCGCTGCTCCCCTCAGCAGTGTACCTCGTCAATCTGCCTGTTCTACGCCCCACTCTGTCTCCGGGGAAGCCTCTTACTATCCCTGCAACTCTGTATCCCAGTTATGTATGCATAAATACATCTTAAAAAGAAAGAAAGAAAGAAATGGTCTAAGATTTAGCCTTGTAGGGATTTTTCCCAGCCCACCTAAAAGCCATAGTCCTACCTTGCTGTTGGGATAAGCAAAGGGCTGGTCAAAGGAGAGAAAGGAACCAAGAAGAGGCAGCAAACTTTGAAGTACAGCTTCTCTATCCAAGGAGCTCCTGCCTTGCTGGGCAGTGGGCAGTGGCTGCAGAGAAAGGGGCCTCTTCTCCAAATGATTACTTTCATTTGATAATTAATGTCCCACTAGGGATGTGGATAGGCCCCAGACAAGCTAAAAATCATTCTCCCTGCCTCACTTCAGTCCTAATGTCTTTCATTCCTTTCACAGGAAATTCTGACAGAAAGTCGGAGTATGCCTCCTCAGAGCCAAGTTGGATAGCCATGGTGAAGCAGAAGAGTTTCCTGGATCATATTCCTATGAGTGAGTCAAAATGCAAAAGCAGATCTGGAGCCAATGCTGAGACTAAGGAACACAGAAGTGAGGTAGGACTCTGTCAGCCCAGCAAACATTCCAAACAGTTGCTGGAGCCACTGATCAAACATGCATGGGGAACTGTGCTGGTCATGGGCTCCCCTTCTCCGTGGGTGCATTCATCAAGGTGGGGGGACTTTTCCCAGGAAAGACTTGCCTTGTACTTACCAAGTGTGCTCTTTAAGAGCTAAAGGTTTGTGGAAAGTAAAGATTATGAGAAGATTCTAGAAATCAAATCCTGGCCTAAATATTCTAGAACAGGATTCCATGAAGTTGCATAGGATTGTCATTAAAAAAAAAAAAAACAAAACACCTCAAATGTAATCCTGGGGGTCATAGTTATCCTTCCAATTATGCATATGTGTATATGTATTTAAGAAACTATAAATAGAATCACACAATGTGTACTAATTTTCTTTCAACATTTTCTTTCTGGGTGCCTTTTTACATATTCATTTGGTTTGGTATGGGACCTCCCTATCGGTTAAAAGGAAAGTTATATGCATATGTGGGTCAGGATACATGGGATGATGTCTTACTTCCAGAGTCCCATTTGCAGTATCTTTGGAAATGTCAAAATCTCTCCTGTTTAAACTGAAGAAAACCGACTCAATAAAACATGTCAAACTTACATGTCAAGAAATATGTCTAAGATTGTTCCCAAGTTAATTTACATGTTAACTTGCTTACACTATTTGTGTGACTAGGCTATCATTTCTTCCAAATATGAAAGGTGATAAAATTAAACTAGCTTAGGTGTTGTGGAACTAATCCTGAATCAAGGTGCCTCAGCACTATTTCCCACCCCTTTTTAATACTTTATTCAATGTTGAAATCATAATATCCAGGGCAGGGCTTACACCTTGTGGCCTTCTAAAGATGTAGTTTTTAGGATTAAGTCATAACATGTTTTCATGTCAGGACTCATAGCCATCCATTTTCATGTTTGTATTAAAGGGAGCTGGCCTTGCACATACCGAATCAAAAAAGACTTTCACTTCCAATACCAATCAACAGGAGAAGATGGCACTGATGAAGCCACCTGTGTCTACCAAAGCAGATGAAAACACACCTGTTCCTACCAAAGCAGGTGAAAACACACACGTGTCTACCAAAGCAGGTAAAACCACACACCTGTCTACCAAAGCAGGTAAAAACACACTGACCCCTCTTCCCCCATATAGCCCTGGCAGAATGTTATGAAATTTGCAATTTCAGCTTAAACAATATGCCTCACCCTCCAAATTCTCCCCACCCCCCCAAGTCAACTTCCTGACTATCCGTAGCTCTTCTGTGAGAGACAGATATTCGTTTGTTGCAGGGACATCCAATTGTTACTAATACAGCTCCAGAGGGAAACTTTCCGAGGGTAGCTCCAGTCCTTTGCCCGGTTGGGAAAGCTGTAAAGCACAACGTTGGGATCATGCTCACCGAGGCATTTCTGCGACTGGTGTGCAGAGCGCTCAAATGTTTTCCAGTTCACCTCACCTCTTGTCAGTGAAACTGTTGGAGTAATCCACAATAAATACCCAGTAGCACTGAATTGTTTTTAGCTATTAAGAAGGCTTGTTTCAACCCTCTGCACTATGAACAGGAGTATGAGAGGTGGGGAAAAGCTGAATGCTGGAAACACTGTGCTAGGATAGGGTAAAATAGAATGTGGTCTTCATCTGCAATTGTGTGCTGGAGGGGTTCACTTTTCAGATGGAGCCAGGGAAAGGGGAAGATACATTTATACGACTCCCCTTTATTTCCCCCCTTAGTTCTCCTCATGAACAATTAGAAATTTAGGAACCAGTTTTCTGGCCATGAAACAGCAACAGCTGACCTTGCTCGTTAGCGGCCTCCCCAGCAGCATACTGTCAAAAATTACAGTTGGGATTCTCAAAAATTACAGTCGTCTCCGGTTCCATTGCTAGAGATTCTAGTTCACTTAATTCAGGATATGGCGCAGGCATTGGTACTAATATTTTAAAGAATCACTGGTTGATTCTAGTATGTAGCCAGAATTGAGACCCATTCGTTGAGTCTAAGCCACTGGGCCAGTCAGCTATAAAACAAGATGAGGAGAGGGATAGAATCAGGTAATGGAAGTTAGTCTGCTTGGTCAGAGATTAATGGATATAATATTTAGTGTAGACTTTTATTGGATGATTCTATTGAGAAATGAGCCATTTCACATGACATCATGGATTGGCAAAACTAAAAAAGGACCATATTTGAAATTTTATTTATTTTAAATATAATAGCTTTTAAATTTATTTTTACATCATTCTTCATTTTGTGCCTTTTCCCATCTCGGTTGTAACCTGATCATGCAATTTATTTCCTCTCTGCTTTTGATTCAAAAGTCTGAGACAATCCAATAACCGTCCAGAGATTGGCAGTCACGGCTGCAGGTATTTTCTCCCAGGCTTTCCCCATTCAGCCCCTGTGGTCACAGTCATATCGGTTTACCCCTTGACGGACCACGCATGCCACCACCCCTGCACTGACTTTTAGAAGGCAGAAGAAACCTGAAAGGAGGCAAAAATTGTATTGCATCTCGTAAACATACCTCCATCTCTTGGGCTTCCTGATGCTTGTATGTGATTGGTTTTAGTTCCCGCAGGATGTGAAGATGAGGCGACACTTCAGGGCCCTACCATGGGTCAAGACACTGGACGGTCTTCAATTTTTCCAGCCCTGCCCCAAAAGCAAGCCGAGCCAGTGTGGTTCTCCATGGCCAAGAAGAAATCCAAAGCGTGGAGACAAATGACAGATACCATGCACTAAATAGTTTGAGGTAGGGGGGATGGTGTAGGAGGGGAGCACGAGATCTCAAATGCCAGTAGATGTACTAATGCCATGTAGTGGCTTATTTGCTGTGGCTGCTTTTATTAAGCAAGATCCTTAGAAATGAGAGTTAAAGTTAATTATTTGAATGAAACAAATACCACGAGTGCCTGACCTTCAGAAGTCTAGTCACTGCCAGCATCTGAAAACCCAGCATTTCCTCTATAAAAACTATGTAAAATGTTAGCGCCACTATAGAATTAGGAAGTCTTTCCCTTCGGACAGTGTATTTCAAGAAGGGAGAAAGCAATTGTGTGGGAGCAGTCCAGAGGCGGTCATTTCCTTTGATCAAAGAAAGAAATTCTACTGGAACGTCTAGCTGATTTGATCCAAGGATTTTATGAAACACGTTAAGTGCTTCAGTCCTTCGGTCGCTGCTCCAAGCTTTGTAAAGTCTCCCAGAAGAGGCAGAAGTGAAAAGTTTGGCTCTCCAAGAAAATTTTACACTTTCAGTGTCTCCCCAATCACCCTACTGCCTTCTGAAACACCTTCCTTGTACCCTGGGGACCCTATTGCCTGCAACCGGTGTGCGCATACACATCGCAACTGTGTGCGTGCGCATCGCAACCTGTCCGCACATGCGCATCTCAACAGGTCGCGCATGCGCATCTCAACCTGTCCTGGTCTGACAGAAGTGCGCCCCTCCCTCCCAACAGCATGTTTCTGGGGGATTACTCTACTCCGGATGGTTAGTCCATCAGTGTCTGACCTTCTACCCCAATGCCACTGTGACCCTCTTTAGTTGTGCAAAAACACATTGGATGTCATACCATTCCCTTTTTAAAAAAGTACTTTTAAGACCCTGCGGAAATTCAAAATTCTAAAGATGCCCAAAGCTGTCCTTTCAATGGGCAGACTGCAGACTCACCACGGTGGAAGTCTGGGCCCACTGGACATCCCTATTGTCCCTTGGCTGATCTCCCCTGGAAACCCCCATGTAGTCAAACTTCTAGTTCAGCAGCCTCTGCTGTACAAGGTTTCAGCCCAAAGTGAGCCTGAAGTCCTGAAGCCATAAAACAATGAAATTTCTATTCACATGAAGCCCTAAGTGATACATCAACCCCTTCCTGCCTTCATTCCTACAGAGGCTCCACCCTCAGGAGTTACCAGACTGGACCGATACACCACCCCCTGTGATCCACTCACCCTCTCCGACATGGGCTGAAAGAGGGGTGCAGGAAAGGAGTCAGGGTGAGAGGCAGGGTCCACTGTGAGGGGAGGGGCATGCACCCAGCAGCCACACTGATCCCTCCCCATCCCGCCACAGTCTTTTGCCTTTGTAGCTCAACCTTCATTCAGAATGGCCAGGGGTGAAGATACAGGCACCTTTATGCAAGAGCCGGG